TCCCACATGCTCTGTCGGGTCGGAGTGTGGGGGACCCTTAGGGTTGGGGATTCAGCCTTTTGGGGTAAGAATAGGAATTTTAACATAGAATTATAGTACGAATAGGAAAGTAAAAAATAATATATTTTATTAGAAAGCTAGATTTTTTAGGAATTGGGTGGGAAGTTAAAGTTCAGGATTTTATTTTTATATATAGTATAGATTTAGTACTTGCACCTTTATTTTGTTTAATTTAATCCATTTACTTTAAAAAGTGGTGAAACTAAGGACAATTTTGACAAGGATCTCATAGGTACTTTGACTCATATTATTATATATTTTCATTGTGTCAATAGAATAGTTTGCTTTTTAAAAAAATTAATTATTAAAAAAGAAATTTTGATTTTTTTTCTATATGCTCATTTATTGATTTTGTTTAATTTTAAAACCCATTTCAATACTGAAAAAAAATTATTTTAAAACGGAATATGAATAAAATCATAATTTCATTAAAAACCTATTAAATATAGTTTATGAGTATAATAAATTTACTAAGGGTGTGTTTGGAAACCCGGAAAATGATTTCTGGAAATCATTTTTCGGGTTTTCAATGTTTGGAAAGATGGAAAATTTTAAAGTCAACTGAAAATAGGCTTTGGTCAATGGAAAATGGGCTTGTTTTTCCGGAAAACAACTTCCCCTTTTCTAAAGGGGAAGTTGTTTTCCGGATGTTGACTTCTTCCTTTTCTTCACTTTCCCGCTGCTTTATCTTCTTCAATTTTTGATTTCCGGCACAATGCTGCTCACTGGTTTCCGGCGGAAAAGGTATTTTTTTTTTTTTATAAATTAAAATCTCATCTGGTTTCCGTGCAGAGACCAGACATGGTTTCCGTATCGGAAACCAATGAGTTTCTTTTTCTTTTTTCTTTTTTTGCTTTTTTTTATATTTTATTTTTTAATATTATAGGATTATATTAAAAATTATTTTAGTATTATTATTATAAATATTTTTATATTCTAAATAAAATAGTTAAAATATTTATTTATACAATTCTACTCATTTTCCAGTAAATGAACCAAACACACCAATGCAGTTTTCCAGAATGTAACCAAACACCGGAAAGGAAAATGTTTTCCGGAAAATGACTCATTTTCCAGAAAACATTTTCCAGAAGTCATTTTCCTGCTTTCCAAACGGACCCTAAATATATTTGTAACTAAAATATTACAATTACTGCATATGGGAAGTTGTGGGTTCGAGACTCAGTGGAGGCGATATTGACTCTTTGTACTTTAGTAATTTGAGAAAGTAATTATGAACAGATATTGCATTGTGATGAAGGATAGATGTGATACTGCCATGTCCAATGAGAAAGGGTGAAGAATGAAGCTGAGGGCAATCTTGTCTTTTCTAGCTTATTTGTATTTCTGTTTTTTCTGTTATAACTGCCTCCTCAGTATAAAGGATGGCAGTTATCCTTCTTTGGCTTGTAACTTCACTTTCCGATCTTCCAGATGAATGCAACAGTGAACACTCCCCATTTTTCTTCTCTTCACTTCACCACCATGAGTTCATCAGCTTGAGCATAGTTATACTTGCTTGTTTCGTCATGGTATCAGAGCGTCGAAGCTACGCTGCTGCTGTAGTCATGGATCAAGAGAATGCCGGAGCAAACCCTACTGGAAATGCAGCAGGGGCGTCAACACCGGTCAATCAGATTCATGTGCCTCAGAATCAGACGCATAGGCTTGATGAACTTGATGATCCGATGTATTTACATGCTACTGAGAATCCGAATACCATCCTTGTATCCCCTCCCCTATCAGAGTACAATTACTCAACATGGAGTAGATCCATGAAGATAGCATTAGGAGTCAAGAACAAACTTGGCTTCGTGAATGGTGAAATTGCTTGTCCAGGTCAATCCGATCCTAGGTATGGAACTTGGAAAAGGTGCAATGACATAGTATGTGCTTGGATTCTGAGATCTCTTAGTTCCTCTATAGCCGAGAGTGTTCTATATTTCGAAACAGCAGAAGAGATATGGAACACGCTGAAATAGAGGTATTCTCAGGCCGATCCACACAAGATAGCAGAAATCCAAAATCAGATCTACAAAAGTATGCAGGGTAATATGTCTGTTAATGAGTTTTTTACCAAATGCAATGCTCTCTGGGAGCAGTTGAAAGCTGTAAGGCCTTTGCCTATATGTGAGTGCATTCCTAGATGCAATTGTACTCTTATGAGTAAAATCAGAAAAGAGAGGGAAGACGATCAAGTGATTAGGTTCTTGGAAGGGCTGAATGATGAGTTTGAAACCATAAAAGCAGGTGCTCTTGTCATGGATCCTCTTCCAACCATGGAGAAAGTCCTGAATATGGCTCTAAAACTGGAAAGGAAGCTCAATAATTCCAGTAGCTATAAAACTAGTGAGATTGTCATGTCCAATGCTATCCAAAATCAAAGTGGTGATGACCAGAATGTTGTGGCAATGGCAAGTTCTTTTAATAAGAAGAAGTTTAATGGTCAAGGAAGCAAAAATGTACCAAAATGTACACATTGTGGTATGAGTGGACATACTGTTGATAAATGCTTTAAGAAGCATGGTTACCCTCCCGGGTGGATACCTGGATATAAGGCTAAGTATAGACAGAACCAAGACAGTCAACACAGCCACACTTCTTCAGTCAATCAAGTTGGTGATATTGGGATGTCATCTGAACAGTTCCAAAGGCTGGTTTCCCTCCTTCAAGGTCAGAACCAGGGAGGTCAGAATAGCCAAGCCTCCACTAGTGCTGCTATCACAATGAGCAGGAGTGGAATGCTTTCAGAATTCACAGGATCATCAGACTCCAAGGAAGGCAGGTTTATCTCTGAATTTCATATTAATGCTGCCTTAACTTGTGCAAATATGTGGATTGTTGATTCAGGAGCCACTGACCACATCACTTGTTCTTTAGATTATGTTGAGAACTGTCACAAAATCCATGGTGTCTGTGTCAAGCTGCCCAATGGACAATCAGTGCAAGTCACACACATAGGGGAAATCAGAATTTTTCCCAACTTGATATTGAGAAATGTCTTATGCATACCTTCCTTCACTTTTAACATAATATCTGTTAGCAAGCTAACCATGCAAAATAAATGCAGTCTTGTTATGAATGCTGATTTTTGTAATATCCAGGGGGCACATGGGATAGTGGATGGTTTTGCTAAGACAAAAGATGGTCTCTATCTGCTCAGTCATCCTCCTGCTAAGATTAGACAGTATGTTGAGAATGGAAAATACTGTAATAGTCTATCTGTGCAACTATGGCACAATAGATTGGGGCATTACCCCATAGATAAGATTCATGGTTTGAATGGAATAAAACAAATACAATGTTATAAGTCTCTTGATTTTGTTTGTGACATATGCCACTTTGCTAAACAAAAAAGATCTAGTTTTCCTGTTAGCAGTACAAGGGCAGAGAAAACTTTTGATTTAATACACTTGGATGTTTGGGGGCCTTTTGCCACTGCCTCCCTTAAGGGAGAACATTACTTCTTGACTATTGTGGATGACTATAGCAGGTTTACTTGGATTCATCTTATGAAACACAAAACAGAAGTCAAGGGATTATTTCAAAACTTCTATTCTTATGTTGCTACACAGTTCTCAAAGAAAATTAAGGCAGTAAGGTCTGACAATGGAACTGATTTTTTCATGACTTCTTTCTTTAATGACAAGGGCATTATTCACCAGAAATCTTGTGCTTACACACCACAGCAAAATGGAGTTGCTGAGAGAAAACACCAGCATATATTGAATGTGGCAAGAGCTCTCAGATTTCAGGCTGGGGTTTCTTTGAGCTTCTGGGGTCACTGTGTATTACATGCCTCATATCTGATTAATAGACTACCTACACCAGTCAATGATGGAAAGGCACCCTATGAACTCTTATTCAACAAGTCAGTAGATTATGATCATCTAAGGACTTTTGGTTGTCTATGTTTTGGTGCCACCACTCCTCAGGGTAGAAACAAAATGATGCCAAGGGCAAGAAAGAGTATCTTTCTAGGCTACCCAGCCAATACCAAAGGATATGTTCTATATGATCTAGATGATAACCATACTTTCATTTCCAGGGATGTCAAATTTTATGAAGGAGTTTATCCTTTCAAAGCTGTGAACCCCACACAGTCACATAATGGAATTGCTAGTCCTCCCTTGCCTTTGATTCCAGTTGATGAGCAGGTGTTTTTTACTCCTAGCCAAAGTGGTCTACCTAGTCCTACTGAGTGTGAGCAGCACAACTCCTATACTGAAGATGAATCACACACTGCCTTTATGAATGAGAATGATGTTGAGGCTGATCAAGATGCTGCCTCTGGAAGTGAAAATGTGAACCATGATTTCCCCCTCACTGATAATGAGGGCATAGTGATAGACATTCCCCTTGAGAGGGAATCCAACCAGCAGCAGCCTAGAAGGTCTGGAAGGATGAGAAATTTGCCAACAAAATTACAAGATTATTACTGCCAGTCCTTTCTCACAACTCAGTCACAGAAGAAAACCTCTCCACACTCTTTGGATAATGTCATATCTTATGATTCTCTTCCTATGAGTTATAAGGTCTGTGCATCATCTATTTTATCTACTCATGAGCCACAGTCTTATAGTGAAGCTGCTAAATCTGAGTCATGGAGGCAAGCTATGTCCAATGAGATAGAAGCTTTAATTGCAAATGGCACTTGGCTGCTGACAGATCTCCCTGAGGGCAAAATCCCAATTGGATGCAAATGGGTATTTAAAGTGAAACACAGGGCTGATGGTACCATAGAGAGGTACAAAGCCAGACTTGTGGCCAAAGGTTATACATAGCAAATGGGAGTGGATTATAATGAGACTTTTTCACTTGTTGCAAGAATGACCACAATAAGAGCCTTCCTAGCTGTGGCCATTGCAAGGGGATGGGATATCCAACAGTTGGACATCAACAATGCTTTCCTCCATGGGGACCTCAATTAAGAGGTGTATATGGTCTTACCACCAGGGTTTCATAGTGAGAAGCCTAAGCAGGTGTGCAAATTGTTAAGGTCTCTGTATGGTTTAAAGCAGGCCAGCAGACAGTGGAACTTCAAATTGACAAAGGCTCTGTTAGAAAATGGATACCATCAGTCCACAGCAGACCCCTCTCTATTCACCAAAGCCTCAGGTACTTCCTTCACAGCCTCACTCATATATGTGGATGATATCCTTGTTACTGGGACTGATCCAGAAGATATCAAAGCCCTAAAGACATTCCTAGATGTGTCTTTCAAGATAAAAGACCTTGGTTCCCTTCACTATTTTCTGGGAATTGAGGCCTTTAACTCTAATGATGGGGTCAGCTTGTTTCAAATGAAATATACTCTGGACATCTTAAAGGAGTATGGTTTTCTGGAATCAAAACCTGCTAGCAGCCCAGCCACTCCAGGTTCCAAACTCAATAAAACAGAAGGGTCTCTTATTGCTAATCCTGAAGAATATAGAAGATTGATTGGCAAACTCTTGTACCTTACCAACACCAGGCCAGATATATCCCATGCTGTCCAACAATTGAGCCAATTTGTTGATAAGCCCAGAGACACTAATCTCATTGCTGCACACAGGGTGTTAAGATACCTCAAAAAATCCCCAGGAAAAGGACTCTTCTACCATAAAAATTCTCAGCTCAAATTGCAAGGTTTTTCAGATTCAGATTGGGCAAATTGTTCAGATACCAGGAAGTCAATCACAGGCTATTGTGTTTATCTTGGACCTAATCTAATCTCTTGGAGAACTAAGAAGCAAGTCACTGTCTCCAAGTCCTCCTCTGAAGCTGAATACAGGGCTTTGGCATCCACTGTATGTGAAATCCAATGGCTCTATTATTTGCTTACAGACTTACAAGTGAACTTTGATGATCCTGCTACTCTATTCTGTGATAATCGTTCAGCAATAGCCATTGGAGAGAATCATGTGTTCCATGAACGAACAAAACATATAGAAATAGACTGCCACATTGTCAAGCAGAAGGTTAATGAAGGATTGGTCAAGCTGCTACCCATTCCTTCAAGGCAACAAGTTGCTGATGGCTTCACAAAGGCTTTGAGTACTCCTGCCTTTGACATCTTTCAACTTAAGCTGGGCTTACGAGACATCCATGCTCCAGCTTACGGGGGGGTGATGAAGGATAGATGTGATACTGCCATGTCCAATGAGAAAGGGTGAAGAATGAAGCTGAGGGCAATCTTGTCTTTTCTAGCTTATTTGTATTTCTGTTTTTTCTGTTATAACTGCCTCCTCAGTATAAAGGATGGCAGTTATCCTTCTTTGGCTTGTAACTTCACTTTCCGATCTTCCAGATGAATGCAACAGTGAACACTCTCCATTTTTCTTCTCTTCACTTCACCACCATGAGTTCATCAGCTTGAGCATAGCTATACTTGCTTGTTTCGTCACATTGTAATAGAGTGTAGCTCTAAATATATATATATATATATATATATATATATATATATATATATATATATATATATATATATATATATATATATATATTACAACTACAATAAAAAGATTCTAATGTATTACTAGTATCTCCTTTATAGGTTAATTAGGCATATCATTAGAGTGTTTATTTACTCAGATTTAGATAATCATTGCTATCAATAATTATGAAAATTCAAAAATATAAACTTTATCCTATTTTTTAAAATGAAATTTGGTGTGGTACTTTATTTTGGAATAAAATACAAAAATATTTTCAAACTTTTTATTATGAAGTTAATGAATTGTTTTATTACTTTTTACAATCGTTGTATAATTTTTTTTATATATATATAAAATTTTAGTCAGAAAAAATGATTATATTAACTGAAGCACGGAATTATTTATTCTTAAAATGAGTAATTGTCCCATTGTTCATACATGTAACTAGAATGAAGAGATGAACTTAATAAAGAGAGGATTCTTTGAATAAATTAAATACTAAAATGGCATCCCGCACCATGAACCATTTCAGATTATTCAATTCATGTCGCATCATGATCTTTAGTAAGTGATATTCAGAGCCATAAATCATAATTTTTTTGTCGTTTATAAATTTTTACAGGTTTCCTACAGGTTACTGATGAATTATGCAAGAACAATACTAGAACAAGCACTGAAAGATGAGAGATGAATCTGGAATTTCAATATAGCAGTGCTCATGTTTACAGAACTGGGAAAAGAAAGAGAAGCTCAGAAATTGAATTGAATACCAGTAAAGCAGTCAACACTGCCTTTTATTACAAGGATAACTAACCATAACTAACTAAGGATTAGGAAAAGGACAAGTATGCCCTTAGTTATTTCATCACCCCCCCCCCCCCCCCCCCCGTAAGCTGGAGCGTGAATGTCATGAAGGCCAAGCTTATCATGGAAAATATCAAACAAAGGCTTGGGCAAAGCCTTAGTAAAGCCATCTGCTACCTGCTGATTTGAAGGGATATTCATCAACTTAATCACCCCTTCATTAACCTTTTGTTTTACCACATGAAAATCGATTTCGATGTGTTTCGTACGCTCGTGAAACACATGATTCTCCCCTATAGCAATGGCAGATCGATTGTCACAAAAAACAGTAACAGGACTAGTTGGAGATGCTCTCAAATCTGTTAGTAAATAGATGAGCCACTGAATTTCACACACTGTGGAGGCAAGGGCTCTATATTCAGCTTCGGAAGAAGATCTTGATATAGTAGCTTGTTTCTTGGCTTTCCAGGAGATGAGGGAATTCCCAAGATAAATGTAGAACCCAGTGATGGACTTCCTTGTATCAGCACAAGTAGCCCAATCTGAATCAGAAAAACCTTGGAGTTTGATTTGGGACTTGGAAGCATAGAACAGTCCCTTGCCTGGTGATCCCTTGATGTATCTCAATACCCTGTGAGCTGCAACCAAATGAAGGTCTCTTGGTGCATCTACAAACTGGCTTAACTGTTGGACAGCAAAGGTGATATCAGGTCTTGTATTGGTTAAGTACAAGAGCTTTCCAATCAACTTCCTGTAACTCTCAGGATTGTCAAGCAACTTCCCTTCAAGACTGGTAAGCTTTTGTCCTGTGATGCATGGAGTCTTAGCAGGTTTGGCATCCAAAAAACCACTTTCCTCAAGAATTTCTAAGGCATACTTTCTTTGGCACAGAGTAAGGCCATCTGGAGTTCTCAAAGCTTCAATCCCCAGGAAATAATTCAGTTTTCCCAGGTCCTTTATTTTAAAAGATGTGTTCAACAGATGCTTCAATTCCTGGATCTGATTGGAGTTTGTACCTGCCACAAGGATATCATCTACATATACAAGCAAAGCAAGGTAAGAATCAGTTGTAGACTTGGTAAACAGTGATGGATCAGCAGTGGATTGTTGGAAACCATAATTTTGCAATGCCTTTGTGAGTTTAGCATTCCATTGTCTACTTTCCTGTCTTAAACCATATAAAGACCTCAACAATTTGCAGACTTGATTAGGCCTATCACTTTTAAATCCTGGAGGGAGAACCATATAGACTTCCTCATCTAGATCCCCATGTAAAAAGGCATTGTTGATGTCAAGCTGCTGAACATCCCACTCTTTGGCTACTGCTATGGCTAGGAAGGTTTTGATGGTTGTCATCCTAGCTACAGGAGAGAAGGTTTCAAAATAGTCCACTCCCAACTGTTGAGTGTAACCTTTTGCAACTAATCTTGCCTTGTACCTCTCAATTGACCCATCAGCTTTGTGTTTTACTTTATAAACCCATCTACAACCAATTGGTGTTTTGCCTTGAGGTAGATCTACCAAAATCCAGGTATTATTGTTAACCAATGCCTCTATTTCAGAATTCATAGCTTGCTTCCAAGGTTCAAACTGCACAGCTTCACTATAAGACTGTGGTTCATGTGTGGTGGTAATAGAGGCAATGCAGGCTTTATAATCAGGTGGTAATGTGTCATAAGAAATGAACTTGCTTATGGGATAGGGGGAAGTCCTCATACCTGAACTGTTTCCCACCATGTTATGACAATAATAATCCTGCAATTTGGTGGATGCTTGTCTTTGTCTGGTGGACCTTCTGAGATGCATATGGCTTTCTGGATTCTGTGGAGAATGGTGGTCAACAACCAACTCATTCTGGCCTGCATTACTCAACTCAACAGATTCAACAGCTGGCTCATCACTCTGCTCAGTGGAATGTACAGTCTGTCTGGCAATAACCTGATCAACATCAACCTCTGGATTTCTGTTCTCATTGTATTCCAAAATGGTTTCTGAATTTGTGGGGATTAAGGGCAATGAGGGGTTAAGAACATGACTGTCAACACTTTCCAAGTCAGTTCCTAAATCATGTTTCTTGAAAGGATAGGTTCTTTCAAGGAAATTAACATCCCTTGATATGAAAACAACTTTATCAACAATGTCAAACAAGATATAACCCTTTACATTTGCTGGATAGCCCAAAAATATACACTTCCTTGCCCTAGTCTGCATCTTATTTCTTCCTTGTGAAATGGTTGCCCCAAAACATAAGCAACCAAATGATCTCATCTGCCCATAATCCACACACTTTCCAGTCAGCTTCTCAAAAGGAGTACTCCCACTAAGGACCTCAGAAGGTAGTCTATTAATGAGAAAAGTAGCATGTAGCACACAGTGTCCCCAGAATTCAATAGGCAACCCTGCATGAAATTTCAAGGTTCTAGCTATGTTTAAGATATGTTGATGTTTCCTCTCTGCTACCCCATTCTGTTGTGGGGTATAGGAACATGATTTCTGATGAACAACTCCTTTCTCATCTAGAAAGGCTCCCATAAAAAACTCACTCCCATTATCTGTTCTCACCATCTTGATTTTGGTTGCAAACTGAGTAGACACATAATTATAAAAACTCTGGAACTTAGCTTTAACCTCTGCCTTACTTTTCATCAAATGCAGCCAAGTGAACCTACTAAAATCATCAACTATGGTGAGAAAATAATGCTCTCCCTTCAAAGATGCCACATTAAAAGGACCCCACACATCCATGTGCAACAAATCAAAGCTTTTCTCAGCTCTAGAAGTACTAACAGGGAAATTAGACCTCTTATGTTTACCAAAATGACAAGCATCACAAACAAAATCAACATTTTTATTGATAGCAACAGACTTTATTCCATTCAAAAAAGGTATTCTGCTGACAGGATAGTGACCTAGTCTACTATGCCATATCTCAACTGTTACACTATTGCAATGAATATCATCACTTCTGCTTACAGTCTCATTTTTCCTTTTTATGGGAGGATCTTCTAGCAGATACAGACCATCCTTTTGCTTAGCAAAACCATCCATTACTCCATGAGTTCCCTGAATGGCACATGAATCAGCCCCCATAACAAGCTTACAATTGGACTCTTTAGTCAGTTTACTAGCAGAAATAATGTTAAAGGCAAATGATGGAATGAACAACACATTCTGCAGTATTATATTTTCATCAAGTCTGATCTCTCCTATATGAGTAACCCTCACTGTCCCACCATTTGGGAGCTTGACAGTCAATCCATGGATTCTATGGTATTTTTCAAGGTAGTCTAGAGAGCAAGTGATGTGATCAGTGGCACCTGAATCTAATATCCAAATGGTATGGGAATTCAAAACAGCACTAACAGAGGGATTATAAGTAAAGCTACCTTCTCCATGTATTCCCTCAGAGCTTCTGAAATCTGATCTGATTCCAGGACTAGTCACTGTTACAGCAGCACTACTTGGAGACTGATTTTCTTTGTTTTGATTCTGCAAAAGAAACAACAATTTTTGAAACTGATCAGCAGATATACCTGTTTCCCCAACTTGATTCACTGAAGCATTTGAAGTCTGCTGTGTGCCTTGGTACTGCTTATTCTTAGTTTTATAGCCTACTATCCATCCGGGAGGATATCTATGTTTTTTGTAACATTTCTCAATCGTGTGACCATTCATACCACAGAAGGTACATTTAGGCACACTTTTCCCTCCATTTGCATTGAACTTCTTCTTATTGTTGAGATTAGCAGCTGCTACAAGTGACTGTTCTTGCTCTGCATCATTCTGAACAGCACAAGCCTGGACAAACTCACTGCTTCTTTGGCTAAGGGTTCCTCTAATCTTCCTCTCCACTTTGAGAGTCATATTAAGAACCTTCTCTATGTCCGGGATGGGATCCATCACTAGAACTCCGGACTTGATAGTCTCATATTCTT